ATTCCAACATATGCAGGCAACAGGGAGTTTTCTGGTATTGCTTTACGAAAGAGCTACCATTGCTTGAGCACAGGAAGTAGGATAACCAAGAAGGCATCAATAAGGACTGGCTTGTTTCATCAATTATAAAAAAATGATTCTCCTGATCAGGGCACAGGGAGGTAAGGCAGCTCTAAAGAAGACAGATAACACCATAGTAGCAGTGCACATTGAGTCCTCTACATGGAAATTGAAGATTGTTTTTAAATACATTTTTAAAAAAGTTTCAATCTTAGGCCTGTTATATTCAACAAACTTCAAGATAACACAAATATGGGAAGTATGATTAGGAGAGATCAGGCCACTGGTCAGCTCCCAAAGCTGCCACAAATTAAAGACATTCAAATAAGTCATTATCTCCATGACCACCATCGCTGCTTCTCTTGGTGTCTCTCACCTTGAACTTGCTGTCAACTCCCAAAAACTTTTCTTTTCACTCAACTCTATATTTCATCACCATACCTTGAAGATTTTTTTAAAGCTAGAATCTATTGGATCTCCTCCATTCCTACCATCAGATTCGACACCCTGGGCTGGAGCACTGGAAAAGTTCTCTTTCCCTGTAACTTTCCCCATTCCTGGCTCAATAGTCACTCATAAATGAATATCTTGACTCTGCCACCAGGACCGATTAATGATTCTTCAAAAGGCCCTTGAAATTTTCAGGATGAATTTTACACCTCTACAGAATTTTCTTAAATTCTAATTCTTGTCTAGTACACTTTGATGTGTATCCATTTCTTTCAACAGTTCTCACCCACCACACTCAATTTTTCTCAGGGACCACCAAGTTGTTCAGCAGCATACACAAATCCACACGTATCCTGTATTGTCATCTGCACACTAAAAATGTGAAAGAAAAAGACAATGATCTAAAGGTATAAAACTGAACGCTTTAAGGTACCAAAGGCAATTAAATGTAATAATTCCAAATTCTTACAAATAAAACTGTCAAAATAATGTTTCCTAGATGAAAAATCAGACAATGCTGCTAATGAAAAAGATATTCTAAACTGGGAAAGGGATTTTTAACAAGCTGTCCCAGAGCATTTTACAAATCAAGAGAAGAAAGGCTTTCAAATCACTTAGTTGTTCAAGCCACTTATCTTTATCACCCATGCTTTCTTTTTAATTAGATAGAAGTCACCTACTGTTAGGTATATTTATTGTTTTCTATATTCTATTCTCTTTTACTTGTAGGAAATAAGCAATAATTCTCCAAAACCGTTAATTATTTGTTGCACTAGAAAAGCCACTATGTGCACTAGAAGACCGAAAGGCGTTCTAGTCCCTGGACCAGGATTGGCTGCCAGCCTTCGAAGTCACATACCAAAGGAAGATAGAGGTGACAGCAAGTACCCCTTCATGTCTGCACGTGAAACTACAGACACTGCCGTAATCTCCTGTAAAAACGCCGGTAGTCACCAGGGAATATAAAAGTAAGGCTTCAGAAGAGCAAGCAGCAAACCATTCAAGGGTTCCTCAGCAAGTCCTGTTGCCATTTATAGAGGCATAAACCTCACATGTGTTCGGCATCAAGAAGAACCTTTAAGTCTGCTGCTCTTGCTTATAAACATGAGCGGGTGAGTAAGGCATTGTTAACATCACCACCTGCGGAAATGAAAGTCAGTGCCGTATGTGGAACTTAAATTCTGAGAAACATGAGTTCTACAAAATGTAACAAGCATAGTACCACTATGCACGTACTCAAATGTGTTTGCAAAACGCCTGGATGAAACATTTAAACAATTTCTGCTGTAGCACTTCACGTATTTTTAGTACATTGATATGCATTCTAAAATTCCAAGAGCATAACATTATTCCTTATTTTCTTTCACCAAGAAAAAAAAATTTTCACGGAAATTCTCCAGTTTAGTTCACAATGCTAGCAGGACAGCGGTAAGATACATGTGGTTTTACCATTAGCAATTTATTCCCAGAAAATGAATCAATTAAAATAACTGAACTCTTGACTGAAATGTAGGAAAGGACAATTAGTCATAGGCGTACTGAATTTGGTTCATCAAGACTCCATGAAGCAATTTTTATTTTTAGAAGTGAAGTTGACAATAGATGCCAACATTTACAGAGAGCACTATGTGATTAAGAAGGAAATAAAATTAAATTTGGAAGGCTAGCAATCCTGATGGAACCGGATTGTATTCAACATCCACTTCAGTTAAAAGTTTTAGTGAATGTAAATGGCATGTGTATTTTCTTAAAAGAATTGTGCCTTCTTTTGATTAGAATAACATAATTATCACCATTTACATCAAAGACATGGTGAGCACTAAACTGCTTTCTAAATCAAATTATTAAGAGCTGCATAAATAAGTATCAATTTTCTCCATTACAGTTTGTTCTCATAAATTAATCCATAAAAAGGGGAACCGCGTGGATATATTTTAGGTGTGATTATCTGACAAATCCAAATAAACATCAAATATATAACATCTGAGGATGCCTTCTCTGATGATATTCAAGTTAGATGATCTTTCTATGCAAATGAAATCACATTATTTCCATCCCGTGCACAAAACATCTGATGATTTCTGCACACACAGGTACCCACCAGCCCTACGTGAGCCTGCCTATGTCCCTTCTCTCTCCTCAGCTACCTGGTTCTAACCATGTAAGCCTGCTGAGACTCAACACAATGTAATACTTGCTTTAGCATTTTAACATGAGTCATTTTCCTAGATCTTCACCTTGCTGAGCGACTTTCCCAATCCCTGAGACTCTAATTTAAGTGGACCAAGGTCAGAAATAGGCATCAACGTGTCTTGAAAATGATTAGATGGATGTTGGGAACACAGCAGGTGAATACATGACACAGATGAAGACACCTGTTTCCTACCACAGAAATTTACCCAGAAAAACATTTTCAGTGCTGCAAGAAGTATCTGACATTTAATACCTGATGGTCAAGGTATCTGTAACTGTCATCTGCTCAAACTTACACATTGCAGTGACATTTTAGAAAGCTAAAGAGCTTTCAATTGCTCTCCTATTGGAGACAATAATTAAATTTTAAGGTTTATACATCATAAAAACAGGATTTGTAGCCCACAATTCCACTGAATGATTATAGTCCTCAATTATTTAGTAATTAAACTATTGTGATATATTAAAATCAAAAATATTATTTGGACTACTTATTTTTCAATTTTTAAAGCCAGAAAAGCGTGTGTGTGTGTGTGTGTGTGTGTGTGTGTGTGTATGCTTTTCACAATAAAAATTCCCCAAGGTGGTCTGTTCTTCCCGCTCCACATGCAGTTATGTGCTGCATGCCTTGCTGTCTTTCCAAAAGCAATAGCCAAATGCTTTCCACTCAATTGCCCCTCCAACATCTCACCAGACAAGAATGCTGCCAACATAAAGGAATCAAACCTTGTGTACATCCTGATCCATTCAAAAAATAGAAGCTTTGCCCCTTCAGTAACAATTAAGCCAATCTTCCTTTTAAGAAGTCAGAATAAAAATTTCACAGGTGAAAGCAGCTCTTACTGCCAAAGGATTTTCCTCTACACACTGCATCCAAGACGTGATGCCAACAAGTGTGATAAAAACTTGGAATGCTTTTGCTAGTTCTCAGCTAGTAGAGAAAATTGCAATTGCTTGAGAAATTAACTTTAAAAGAAAACATGAAATCATTGATGCTGGCTAATTGGCGATCTTTAAAAGCTGTGGGAAGTAAATATAGACTGTGTGGGCTGTGATTGAAGGTCTCGCTTCCTGAAAATTATTAGCAGTTTGGAATAAAAGTGACACCACTTTGTCCAGGATAAAAGGGAAGTTATTTTTCCAGAACATGCTTTTGGTAGTCATGACTGAACCAGTTTACAAAATCAGGACCTGAGAATCTAAGCCTGAGCAAGGTAGAATCATCAGTCAAGCACGGAGGGACAAACGGCGGGACGTCAATCAAAGAGAATATGCGATGAAGAGACTGTGGAGCATATTGCCCAGGGGAGACAAAATTTTCCAACATCAAGAAGTTCAAGTCGTGTTTCAAAATGTCAACAAGTTTTCTTCATCAAGATATTTTTAAAGTAACTGCAGTCACAAAATTATGAACAAACATAAAACTGCCAGTTAGCTGTCTCTAGTCTTTTCCCTGCTTTATTTACTTACTGATTTTTCCTCTCTGCAGTGATGACTTCAATATATCTCTCGATCAAGCCCTAGTTCACCAGTGTAAGTTACATCTCACAGGGCCAGTTTTCTACACTCTTGTAATAAGTATTAACGTTACAGGGACCAGGAACGTCTTCTAATAGTAGATAAACAACAAACTATTTTAGGTTTACTGTCTCTTTTTTTTTTTTTTTTTTTTTTTTTTTTTTTTTACAAAAGCAAAAGCTAGGGGCAGCCAAGTAGCTCATTGGATTAAAGCACCTGCAAGCAAAGGTTCGATCCTGTGCTGCTGTGCCGGCCCCTCCCTGGGGTTGCGCTGAGACAGCGACTGAGACTGGGTGTGGTGGCGCACACCTGTAATCCCAGCTCTTGGGAGGCTGTAAACAGGTAGACCACTATGAGTCTAATCTAGTAGTGAGAACCTAAACACCCTGTAGTCCCTTCCCTGGGGGGTGGGGGTGGGGGGGAAACAGCAAAAGCTAAGAGTAAATTGCTGATTTTTTTTTTTTAGCAATTCACCTTGTTCTGTCTGTAACTAAAAAGGCACCATGTGTATGCAGGACAATAAAACATGAATATTTTATTTGAACAAAGTCTAAATAAAGGCTTTGATTTTGCATAACGCAGATGCATGAAGAATGCACAACTGGACAAACATTCAAAGCCCCATCAGACAGTCTATAACAACTTTTATCAGTGTATTTCGGTCACTTTCTGCAACACTAAGACGCCAGAGCCAATCTCGCAACCTAAAGAAGGAGGAGTTTCTTTGGCGCACATCTTAGTCCACGGTTGGCTGGCTCCACGGCAGGACAGCTCAGCAGAGGGTGCAGAGGGGCACGGTGGCAGAAAGGCTGCTGAGCTCACAGCATCCAGGGAACCAAGAGTGTAGAGGGAGGCGCTGGGGAAAGACGCGCATTTCTGGGTCCCGTCTCCAAAGACCTACTTCTTCCAAGCCGACCCCAGCACCCACCAGTGCCACCTTCCCAAGCCCCAGCTCTGAGATGCTGGGGTTCTTTGGGGACATCTCGATGCAAATCAGAACACTGTGTTTTCTTTCTGGAACTGCTGAATGCAATTACAGCACCATTTATCTATCGTTCGTAGCACCGTACAGCATGTATGTCTCTGGAGCCTAAATAATTATCAGGAAGTACATCTATCTTGTGCTCCAACAGGGAGCGCAATGTCTGCCACACGGAATCTCACAGGAAGCTACTGAAAGAGAGCGAGATGGCTTACAAATACTTTAAAATACATACTTGCATATTTTATATACTTATCATCCAAATCCAACTTAAAATATTAAATTTATCCACAAAGAAAATTTTAATTGGCAGATCTTTCAGTATTTCTTTATAACTGACTCTTCATAATTATGTTAGTATAATTTTAAAAATATCAAGAGAAAGCGTTTCTTCTCTTCCCAAAATGAAAATTCTCTTAGAAGCCAAAAGAATGTAATTAAGTGAATTTCCCACGGTAAAGATGCTGTACAGATCACTTATAATGTATAAATTACTTAATGTTTTTTGATTAGAAATGGATATCAATGTTTGTGCTTCGTGCTTTAATTAAAATAACAAATTTCAACAGATGGTCTCAAACTCAATTAGTATTTGAATAAGGTAAATAAAATGTGTAATTTTCTTTATATGAAATACCATGTAAGAATTAGCAATCTTAACTTTTAAACCATGTAAATATTATTTTAACATCATTAAATATATCTCAAAAACTTAGCTATTTATATGTACCTAAAGACCCAGTCCTAGCCCAGGCCCGATGAGTGTGTGGGAGAGCTTCCAGCTACACTGTGCCGGCAGGACCTACTACTGGTCCCAGCCCAGGTGCAGCATGGGTGAGACCCTTTTCCACCCCCTTGGGACACTCCCCCACCAATCCACAGGACCTCCTCCACCCCGCCCACCCAGTAGGAATTTCTGCCATGTTCAGGGAATCCCCATCCCCAGTCCTAGCCCAGGCCCGGTGAGTGTGTGGGAGAGCTTTGGGCTACCCTGCACCTGCTGGACCTACTACTGGTTCCAGCTCAGGCGCAGTGTGGGTGAAACCCTCTTCTACCTGCTTGGGACGCCCCCATCAATCCATAGTACCCCATACACACCCCGCACACAGGGTAGGAATTTCTGCAGAGTTCCAAGAACCCCCAGATCCAGTCCTAGCCCAGGCACGGTGAGTGTGTGGGAGAGCTCCCTCTCACCCCTACTCCACCTTGTCCCCTCCAGGCTCAGTTCAGGCCTGGTATACAGGCCTGGGGTGAAACCCTGCAGCTGCAATCCCTGCAGAGAGTGTAGAGGATAGAACCACCCAGATAGTCCAGGAGCAGAACATCTTGCCAGAGGGGCACAACAGGTTCACCCCCAAGGGCAGCAGCAGGAAGGAGCTGAGCACAGCAGCCAGACCCAAGCCAGGCACAGCTGGATAAATCCCAACTTTGTAGATCTGCACCTGAACTTCAGTACGTGCTAAGGTTATAACTTCAAAAAAGATCTACAACAAAGGTCAGAAGACAGTGCTACACAAAATGACGAGAAGGAACAAAATGCAACCTCAGAACCCAAGCCCACCTGAAACAAGTGCAGAGGACAATAACAGAACAAATTGGGAATCACACAGCTGAAAGCAGTGAATCAACGGCTTCTGAAATAAAGAAACAGCTGCAGAAAGGTATAGAGGAACTCAGATTGGAAATATATGTACCTAAGTGTTTTAAGTAGAAAAGAAGCTAGCAGAAAAATAACCATTTAGCACATACGTTCTTTCTCTCCTTCCTTTCTTCCTCCTGTCTTTCATTGCTTTCTTCCAGATTTCTGCCCATTTTTAGGCTCCTACAGTTATTGTTAAAGATAAATATTTCTCTTGTTTTTAGATCACCTGAAAATGTTTCATAGCCATTATTTCTATTTTCAGTGGAAAATGAAACAAAGAAACAGATTTGGTGATGATTCACTTCCAGCTCCACATAACTCTAAATGTCATCACATTCAATAGGTTGCTGTCTTCCTTTCATAAGAAGTGACTCTCCCAGGGTGATAAGAAGCAACAAGCCATCGATCTTTCCCCAACATCCAAAACCTAGATCATCAATGCTAGATCTCTTTTTAGTTTGTTATCTTTTGCTTCACCGTTGCAATTTCTTTCTTTTTTTTTTAAAGGAATTTGGTACAGGGTCTCATTACACAGCTCGGACTCGTAGTGATCCTTCTGTTTTCAGCCTCCCCAGTGCTGGGATTACAAGAATGTGCCACCATGCCCAATCTGGGTGGCCAGCTCAGTGTGCCCAGGGGTGGGGCTGGCACAGCATGTGGTGTTGCAGATTGAACCCTGTTCCCTGTGTTTGCTTACTCAGGCGCTTAGTCCACTGAGCTATCTCACTGGCCCTAATAATGAACTTTTAAAATTGTGAGTATAGTTATTTTACAAACACCATTTGAAAATCTCCATAAAAATACCTTTTTCTAAAAGAAGTTCTTTTAACTTTGAGTGGCTTTTTGTTTATACTTAAATGTTATTAAATAGTCTAAAACTGATACTTAAAGTCATAGCCTAATATCTATCTTCTTAAACTAAATCCATTATGGGGAGGGTAAATTTCCACTAGTGGAAACATAACATGGACTTTTTAAAAGGAATATTCATCATTGTTTTATAGTAGTATGAAACTGAAATAAGATCATATAATATTAACAGACATTTAAAGAGCAAATCTGGGGCCAGGGATATAGTTCAGTAGAATAAGCACTTGCCTGGCAAGCACAAGGGCCTGTGTTCAATCCCCGATTCCACCAAAAAAAAGAGAGAAAGAGAGAGATAGAGAGAGAGCAAATCTTTAAAAATTCCATTATCAAAAGCAACTACTGTGTGGCCTAGAAAATCATTCATTTGAATCTCTGACAAGATCTTTAACCAATTTCCTATTCTCTCTATTAGTGTAGAAGAATTTCTGATGATTAAGGGTACAAAGTCTATATAAATACTTTCCAAAAAGTCCCCAGATTGTCCGAATTTGCATGCAATTATTATGTGTATCAGGCATGATGGAAAAATAAAGTGTGTGTATAAATGATTAAATATTAGTAGGTTATAAAACATATTGCCATTAGTCCTTCTCAACTTATTCCCTGGAATCAAATATACTTATCCCACTGTTCTTAGCATTTTCTGAAACACTTTTGGAAGTGTTGCTTTGTAAGTGTCTTTGGTTGTGCTGTTCTGGTTGCCTTGCTGTCCTCAATCTATTCAGTACGTTTGCCTGTCACGGTCATCTCGCCTGTGGAAGAGTCTGAAGTCTCCTGCTTCCAGACCTCATGAATGAGTGGACCAAGACACAACACAATGTTGTAATGAGCCCTCCTGTTGGGTCATATTTGGCAGCAGCATTCACTGCACTTTTAATCATACTTTGTAAGGATGATGACAAAAGAGCAGTTCCAGAGCTGCTTCAGTACATGGCAAGAACAACGGGATAAGTATGTTCAAAGTGAAGAGGAATCCTTTGAGAGTCATTAACAGCAACGGGTCTTTTACTGTAATAAAACTGTACTTACGTATTCACTATATTTTCCAATCACTCCTTGGTTATATATATTTTGACCATAAAGTCTAATCCCAGAATATTAAAAATTGCTGTTTAATGTATATTGCTAATTTACTATACAAGCTGCTGTGAAATTTTGAGTGGCCTGAGCACACCTACTTTTATTATTTTTTCTTTGTCATTAGGAAGTTAACACTTCAGAAAGAAAGTGCATGCAGATAAACTTCCTCCAGAGCACTTGTTTCCTGCACAGTTTACCTAACATTCTTTGTTTCAGTCCTCAGAGCTGTAGACTTCAATATTTGTCTGAATTTCTCAAGGAACTATCTAGAAACATAAAGCCAACAGTTTACTTCTTCTAGCAGGAGGGCTTTATGAATAACCAACCCGCACACACATTGCATAACAAAATTGGTTAAAATGCTTTAAAATAGTTCACTTAGCCTTGAATTTAATGTATATAAATGAATATAGTGAAAATAAACCCTCAAATACAGCGAGAAAAATACCATACTGAAATGAAGGGCCACAAAGAAAGTCTTTAAGCGATATCTCAATGTGCCTCTCTCACGCTGCTGTAGGGAGGCATTCAGTTAATGCCCAAAGTTACTAGGAACTGTGTGAGGTTCTGAGATCTCCCACTTCTGGCAAGAACTAACACCTCATTGGTTGGCTAACTAGCCTAAGAAAACTAACAGCGAAAGACACAGGGCCAATTTTGAAAAACCAACTGGACTCACTATTTTGACATAGAAAGAAGAGAGGGAGAGAGAGGCTGATTTTATCCACATATGCACAAGCACAAAAACGACACATTTTTAAAATGATTTTGGAATTTTCTCAGATTTACAGAATAGAAAGGATCTTTCACTATTGAAATTTCAGTTGTTTGTGCTGTTTCTGAGAGCAATCACTCACCCATTTTGTTTCTGTTCATCAGCCTTTTATTCAACGTTGTATTCCGCACTTTAAGGTAGGAGGTGGTGGCTAGGGCTGTCTGTCTAGGGTCTTGTATTACGGTTTGCTTCTTGAATGACTTCTCAATGCATGTGATGTTCCATCTCGTGGATCCTTTTCACTTCCAGAAATGTAGGCTGGAATGAATTATTAGATTTAGATTCCCCAAGCCTAATGTGATCTAGCACTCCTTCCTCAGTTTAATGTTTATTGTGCTTAAGTATGTATAGCAAGGATAATGGTTTTCTTCTTTGGATTTGGTTTGGTTTGGTTTCCAGACAGGGTCTCGGTATGCAGTTCAGGCTGGCCTTGCACTCACTT